TAAAAGTAAAAAAATAGTCAAATATATTCTACGACATTCATTATAACTATATAGTTTTTTTTTTCTATTTAGAATCGTTTGCCTCTCTTTATGTTACTATTAAAATTGGAAAGTCAATAAGTATTTCTTAAGTCTCAAATAATACAAAAATGAAAATTATATATGAACTGAACAATGCAAAATTCTTCTTTGATAAAAATCGATTCATTTTTATTATTAAGAAATTTCAATAATAATAAAAATTATTATTTAATATCTAACATATTTTTTTCTTAAAATTTGTATAAATCTTACATACCTAAAACAATTAAATTAAATTGTCGAATAGCTCCAAGTGTTTCACATTCATAAATTCCTGAATCATTCGATTTTAATTGTCGAATATTTAATATTTGTGAATTAATATTATCATTAATTTGTTCAAAAAATATTTTTGAACGAAATTTTGGTAGAATAACACCATATCTTGTTGCTAATAAATTTGGTCTTTTCCACCAAGCAACATCATTTAAATCACATCGAAAATTAACATCATCATATTCAGAACGATAAATTATTTCAAAACGATTATTATCATCATTATTACTATTAATCATATTGATTTTATAAAAAAATAATAGAAGAATTAAAATAAATAACTGATGATGTTCAATTGTATACATGTGACGACAATGATACATACATAGTCGTCGTTTATATTAATATAAATAATTATCTAAGAAAAAGACAAAAAATAAAAATTTCTTTGTTTTTGTTTTGTTTAAATAAAGATTATAAACAAACAAGTAACAAATGTCGTTTGATTCATTAAGATTATCAATTCATGATTGATGATGATGTTATTATATATGATATATTTTTAGTTTATAGAGAGGATTGAATTTTAACTTAAAATTAATATTATTTATATGATAATTAAATATTTTTATTTAACAAACCTGTATACTTGAATTTAATTTGAAAAAACAAAAAACAGAAATATATATTTGATCAGTTTTGTTAGTTTTGCATTAATGCGTTCTATGTCTTGTCAAGATAAAGTAAGCGCAGCAGAAATCGCTTAGTAAATGAACGTGTCAGAATGAGACAAAAGAAGATACTGACACTTTATGTATCAATATGATGAAAGGAGGGTCAGACAGAAAAAAAAAAGGGAAAAGTCAATATATGTAAAATATCAATCGTCTTTCTTTAGTAGTGTTACCAATCATACCATGTCTTACACAAAAGACAATAGTTGAATTGTTGAACAAAAAATAATAATAATCACCTCTGACGCGTGAAGCAATTTCTATCGGCTATCCCAATCATCTTCATTCTTTATATATCTACATATATATATATATATACTATAAACGATTAATCGAATGATTGACTAATTCCCTTTAGTGCACTGTCTTTTCGTCTCTCCCGGCTATAAACTCACTATTGTTGTCAAGTTATATTATCGAATGATGTATTCTTTAGTATTTTTTTTTCTCTTGAACTCTAATACAAACATATCGATCTCTGTTTCTTTTCTTATCGTAAAGTAACTGATGATGTCTGTTAAGGATCATCGACAGTATTCTAATCATCAATGTGTCAGATTGAATATAGAAATAGATAGAAAGGTGAATAATAATAATAATAATAAATCGACAACGGAACAGTAGCAGTAATGCTAATCTTCTACTATTCATTCATACGTCTACCCGTCGATAGCAATAGTTAGATAAATCATTCTTACAGCGGAAAAGAGCAAATCAAAACGACTTGTCTTGCATGCGAGAAAACAATTATCGATATAGACATATACACACTTGTGTCATATAGATTATATCGAACAAGAAATAACTAACAAATTCTAATAATACTCAAAGAATTGAAGTCTTATAATGATTTTTTTTAATAAACATATAGCTAGTAGAAGTTGCGTGTTTTAAAGAGATTATGAAACTTATTATCTGAATAAGTAGCGTTAACTGATTGCTTACGAATGAAATATGAGACCTATTATTATCAATTCTTTCTTTTTTTTTTTTTTTTCAATATAATTGCTAAGACCTATATTACTTACCTTTGCAAAAAAAACAATTATATCAGACAAAATACCAATTGATTGAAGTACAAATAGTTTGATGAATATGAACGCTCAAGAGATTTTCTTTTGCTTCTATTTCTTTTTTTTTTGTTCTCCTTCTTTTCGCTCTCTCTCTCCATCCTGAGGGAATAAATCATTGTAAGACAATAGGCGATGATCTGAATGAGCACGTTCATTGAGACTGGTCATCGGTTGAGGATAAAATTAAAGAGGAAGAAGAGGCAAAACAAATAAGTAATAGAATAAATGAGGTCATCTTCAGACAGGTGCTTGACAAGCTGATAAAAGAGAACGAGAAAAAGATTTTTTTCCCGGGAAATGGCTAATCGATTTACCTCATAAATGATCGTTTCTTTTTCTTTTTTCCTGATCAATATAGACAAATTCAATTTCGTATCCATATATACTCTAATAGTACTTAGCATTTTAATTAAACGTCGAGTATCCTCTTTTTGATTTCATTTCCTTCTTTTTTTTTATATATAGTCTAAAAAGATAAAAAAAAGAAAAAAATTTGATTATTTGATCGGCTAACTCTCCCTATTGTAATTGTTTATTCAACTAATCGGAAATCTGTTACTGAGAATATAAAAAAAAGGCGTATACACATGTTTCCTCTTTATAGACATATCTAAATACATTGATGTTTAAAAATGACCCTACTAATTGTCTATCGATGTTAAGTGAATAAATATTTTTTTTAATAACAAGTACCTATTCATTGTTTATTTTCAATCGATTTTCATTGAACAGTTTAGTACGGTATAGTGAACAAATAAGTTGTTAGGAGTCGCGTGCTTGTTAATAAAGATAAATGACATGCAAGAAGTAAACACATCCGTCTATGTTGAGTACCATATAAATGAACAATTAAACAAGAGATTATGAATTTCTTGACTTTGTTCAAACTATTAGAAGCAAAAAGAAAACATAAAAAAGATAAAAATCTATTTCATTGTGTTCTTTTTTTTAAGTAGATAATGAGTTTTACAATTATAAAAAAAAAAAAAATTATTTTAACAAATTTATTTAAAAGAAAAAGAAAACTTGAGATTCTATCTTATGTTAACCTTGGCATAGAACGCTTCACTCACTTTTCTTCGTCGCATCCCCATCATGATTATTATTATATGAGTTTCATCAAGCCTTGAACAGGTATCTAGAGAAAAAGAAAAGAAAAAGAAAACTCTGATTACATTCATATTTCCCTTTATTCTTTCTCCATCTTCTTCTTCTTTTTTTGTGATAATCGAGATCCATTTCATGTCTGAATCACATCATACACACCTAGCGTTCTTCGTTTGGTTTCCGATTAAAAATTAACTCTATGTGTTCTTCGTGCTCGTTCATGTACACACATTGTGAATGCTATGGCATACAGAGTTAATTATACGGACATTTTTCTCATCATCATCATCATCATCATAATCATACATGGAAAGTGAGGAAAAAAAGAAAGAAAACATTGTTTTTTTTTTATATTAAAAAATGATTAATATTTTGTTTTTATTATAGAATGAATATGACAGTGAATAGAAACAATTATACTATTAAAAAAAAAGGTTACCCGAGGTTATAAAAATCAATTGATAATGATATTAAGGTTCGAGGCTGAATACATATTGTTCTATGAAGTACTCTCATGATAACAATCATTTATTTCTCGAAGAGATATTTTATTACGGAAGGCAAACATAATTTTTAAACGAAAACGTTCACTAGACATCTTACTTGTGACATATGATTGTTTTAAATTTTTTGCATAGTGGAAATGATGATTTCTTTCATACGTAAATAATTTATGAATAAAATTTGAATTAAAAAAGATTGTGCACATTTCCTTTTTATGAATAGTTATTTAATAATAAAATTTATTGTGACGAGTTTTTTTTTTTTTACAATTATGATACTAATCAAATAGAATCTTACTTTATAGTTAATAATGTTAGCAATAACAATAACTACTAATTGTTCTCAATTGAATAAGTAATAAATAAAAACTATTGCGTTTATTTGTTCTAAAAACTGTTATTGGTAGTCTATTGAATGATTCTTTATTAAGTTTATTATATATAAATTTTTTTCTATAACGAACAACAAATTATTTATTTCAAAAACAAACAAAACAAAGTATATATGCATCGAAAGTTTAGTTTGATTGTTATCTGTGTGTAGTATTAGAAATACAGAAGAAAAAACACTAACATATAGAAAAGTAAGTTAAATGTATTCATCAATTGCAAGGAAGAAAAAAAATGATGACGCAACATACACGTAACAGTATTGCCTCGAGAGATTTTTATTAGAAAATTTCAATGTACTAATTTCTGTGTTTCATTAAATATAAGGAAAAAAAGCTAACATAGATTCAACAGTAAAAAATAAAGAAAAGAATTGTCTTTTAATTCCAGTAATATCTAATCATATTTAACTTGTTGATTTCGTTCAATTTTTGTTTTTTTTTAAATATATAATTATGAATTATTGAAGGAAATCAAATTCATTGTTCCCTGACACATGCTAATGATTTCAAATTTGAAGGTTTTGTCTACTAGTTTTTTTTTTCTTCATTGAACAAGCTTAATTATCAATAATTTTAATTGAAATTGTTTGTCTATTTCATCAAATAATCATTGTTCGTATCTTCTATGACATTGTTAAAAGGAAAATTGCATCCACACTTGAAGACCTTGTTCAATATATATGAAGTCAAACAAATGAATATAAATAAAAATTTAATGAAATAAAATAAGCGTTTGATTAACAGTATCATCTTGAAACCTTGGACTATAGTGATAGCTTTAGTTTTCTTTTCTTTTTGTCATAAGGAGGGCATATGTTACGCATTCATTTATTGATTAACTCTTTTTTATATATCGGCAAGGTATTGTATCATTTAAAGGCAGTTATACAAGTAGACAGACTAACAAGCAGAAGAACCCTGATGAACATATGGACGATGAGAAGCAATAAATTGATGTTTCGCTTTATAACGAATCAAAAGGACGATGTCTTTATGCTTCCTTGATAATTTCGCATTTCTATGTCCATGATCGTATTGTTAGAGGGTTGATTGCATGTAATGATGCTTGTCGCATTAAGAGAGTCAACCAATCTCTTATTCAACATTGATCGAAAATTTTTTTTAATGTTCGTTTAGATGATAGTTTTGATATATGAACGAAAAAAAAAGAAAGGAAGGAAGGAAAGAGGAGAGAGAGAGAGAGAGAGCAAGATAAAAGTATGAGGGCGTTGACTGTTACCGAAATACTTTTGTATATGAAAGGGTGAAGGTAGAGAAGAAGCACGTCCTTGTCCTATCTGGTTTGCTTGACTGATTTCAATGAAAGTATTTAAAATCACATCGATGAAAGATTCATACTTGTGTTTCTTACAAGATAGTCATTTCTTCATATCATTATGGCTGATGTTTTATTTGACCAAGCTGGTATTGTTTTATTCTTTTCTTTTCTTGTCTTTGTAAAACAAAAGATAAATACATATGTTCTTTTAAATAGATCTTAATAAAGATCAACGGCTTGATTTAAATGAATTTCGCAATCTTCTTGCTCAAAATTTAGGAGCTGGTGCAAATATTTATACTGGAAATATTGCTGATGGAGGTCAATATTCAGCAAGTTCTTATGAATCTTCATCAATAGGTGCCTATGGTGATATAAATGCAGGTGCTGGAGGATATGGTGGTGTTACTGGTGGTCTATCAGCAACAACTCATAGTGGAGTTGGTAATGCAGGTTATACTTCTTATGATCAAGCATCATATTCATCATCAATGGGTGGTGTTGCAGGTGGATTTGATGGAAATGTAACAGCAGATGGTGATGTAGCAGGTGCAGCTGCTGGAACTGCTTCATCATCAACATTTGAAGCAAACAATACTCAACAACAAGTTCAACAATATTCTACTAATGCACAAGGTCTTTATCAAGATCCTAATCCACAAATAATACGACGTCCAGCACAAAGTGGACAAGTGACTTATACACAAAATATCAAAATTCGTTTTCTTCAACCACCAGCTATTCCAGCACCAGGCGTAAGTTTACTTTTTCACAATGTATTATCTTTCTATATTATTGATTTTTAGCCATTAATCATTAAAGAAGTTCGACCACCTCAGCCACCACCACCACCACCATTGGTAGTTCGTCAACGTGCACCACCACTTCCTACACCACCTCCACTTATTTTACGTGAACGACCACCTCCTGTACCATCTTCTGTTGCTGCCCAAACTGGTAAAAACAACAAGAAGCATATTTTTTATTATTAATATTCATTAAATTTTCTATATAGTTATTCGAAAATTGCCTGCTCTACCAATTCCACCTCGTTCAGTTATTATCGAACGATTACCAGCACTTCCAGCAAAACCTCGTAAGAATTTTTGTTTTTATTTATAAAACAAAAATAAAACAATTTCTATTAATTTTAATTCATTATCATCAGGTGATATTATTATTGAACGTTGGATTCCATATGGAGCAATGTCAAAACGTAAGACAATTATTCAACGTGCTGAATCTATTAAACCTTATCCAAAACCACGTAATGTTATTATTCAATATGAAGCACCACAAGTACGTGTTGTTCGACAATTTCAACGTCTTGGTATTACTGCAGAAAATCCTCAAGAATATGTTCAACGTTATGGAGCATCACTTATTGATTCTCAAACATTGCTTCAACAAGCACGTGCTGTTGGTGTTGTAGAAGATATTGTAAGATAAAATGATATCAAAAATATTTTTTCAATTTTTCATCTTATTTTAGTCTCCACCAACAAATATTGGTACAGTAGCAGCAGCAAGTTCATCAGCATTTAATGCTGAATTTGCTGGTACTACTTCAGGTATTGAAACAGCTGGAGCTGCTGCTTCATCATCAACAGTTGAATCATCAAATTATGCTGGTCAACAAGTAGGTGCTGGTTATTCAGGTTATGAATCAGTTCAAGGTGGTAGTTTTGGTGGTTTAGCATCACCATATGAAGCCAATTCATTTTCATCACAAGGTATTGGTGCATATAATGATGCCAATGCATCTGGTTATCAAAATTACAACATTTCAACTGGTAGTAATATTGATTTAGCTAATGCTGCATATAAAGCTGCTGATTTAAATAAAGATGGATCAATTGATAGCAATGAATTTCGTCAATTCATTAGTTCTCGAACTTAGTATGTATGATTAACTTCAATGATTTCTTAAAAAAAATTTTTATTTATAAATTTAGATAAATTATTTTGTCCTGATATTAGTTGGTTTGATGAATTCGAAGGAGAAAAAAAAAAGAATTTACATTCGACTATAACCTTGTTAGAAGAACAAGGACTATTTTTTTTTTCTTTCAATTTTTTCATATGATGCATGTTCGTTCTGTTTCGTTATACTGTTCTCTTTGATCATATCATTTACATCAAAGTTTTTTTTTTCTCATTTCATTTTGCTTGATAATACATTTACATATGTATAGATAAATATTACATTAGTTCGTGTTTTACCTTTTTTTTTTTCATTTGCTTCAATAAAAAAAAGGGCATATTTATCATTATGATGATGTACATATGGTTTTGTTTTTTGAAAACTTATTTTATTTTTTTTATGGTATAAATACGAAAGTGAATATAAAGAGAAGAGAGAAAAAGAAAAGTTTCGCAAGATTAATTGTTTGAAAATCTAAATAGCTAATTATTATTTTTTGGTTCATGAATATAATAGTTAAAATAATGTAATAAAAAAAAAAAAAGAAAAGATTCTGTTAGTTTAGTTTAAAAACCAGCATTTTGAAATTCGGTTTGGGATAAGACACCATCATTGTTTGTATCAGCTGCAGCAAAAACTGCATTAATTCCTTCATTTAATCTGCCAGTTGATGAATTATAAGCTGGTGATATATTTGATAATGTTGAACGAAAGCCACCAAGTCCAGAGATATCACCATTATATGATGATTCATAAAATGAAGAACGGCTACCACCACTAGCAATATTTCTGGCATCAAATCCACCAATATTATTTGCTTCAAAATTAAGATCACCATTAGATGATGCAGATGAAACAGCAATTGAATCGTTTACAACAGGTGCTGACTAGACATATAGATATATTTATTTATTAAAATATTAATAAATTTCAATCGCTTACTATATCTTCAATGATACCAGCAGCACGTGCTTGTTGAACTAATGTATGAGAATCAATAAGTAATGCTCCGTAACGTTGAATATATTCTTGAGGATTTTCTGGACTAATACCAAGACGTTGAAATTGTCGAAGAACACGTACTTTTGGTGGTTCATATTCAATAATTACATTACGTGGTGGTGGATAAGGGTTAGGAGCATCTGCACGTTGAACAATTGTCTTTCGTGAAGGCTGTGGTCCATATGGAATCCAACGTTCAATTATAATATCACCTAATAAAGATCAATCTATAACTGAAATATAGCAAGAGTAAAAGAAAAATTTTACGTGGTTTTGCTGGTGATGGAGGTATACGCTCGATAACGACTGATCGTGGTGGAACTGGAATTGCAGCCAAATTTCGAACAACTAAAAAGAAAATTCAATGAGAAAATCTTTGTGATATTTGTTTTTTTACCAGTCTGAGATGAAATAATAGGTGGTTTTGGTGGTGGTTGTTCACGTAAAACAAGTGGCGGTGGTGTAGGAAGTGGTGGAGCTTGTTGACGAATGCGAAGTGGTGCTGGTGCTGGTGGTTGCGGTGGTCGTACTTCTTTAATAATCAGTGGCTAAAATTAACAATGTACAAATTTAAAAAAAAAAAAGAAATATGTACATTTCAAATATTCTTACTCCTGGTGGTGGAACAGCTGGTGGTTTAAGAAATCGAACTTGAACATTTTGTGTATAAGTACGTGGTCCATTTGGATCAGGTCGTCGTATAATTTCTGGATTAGAATCTTTGAAATTTCCTTGAGCATCTGTTTCATATTGCTGAAAATTCGATGATTGAAATGCAGATGATGATCCAATCAAACCTGCATCTGTATAATTAATATTTGCTGCATTACTAACAAGTTCACCTCCAGTATAACCCATATCACCAATTGTTGATGTTTCATAATTTGATGATGATGATACATAACCACTACCAGTTGCCAAATTATTGTCAGTCGAATAATTCGAAGTATCAAGACCAACAGTAGAATGTCGTACTATAAAGTTTCGAAATTCATTTTGAGACAAGAATCCATCTCGGTTAGTATCTGCTTCATCGAATAAAGCAGCTGCTGTGGTCATTTTGATATTGCTAGCAAAAAGATACAGTAAATTATATGCTAATGACAAAGTATTTTATGCAATATAAAACACTAATCTGTACTCATTTATATATCCATATATTTAATAAAAAGCAGTCAACCAAGTCAATCTTTATTGCTCTCTCTATCTCTCTCACATCTTTACTTTTGCTCATTATGTTGTTGTCTGATGATTAGTAAACAAACTTTGCCCTACTATATAATTCCACTTTCATTTTTCTGTTTACAGTAATATTCATCGATATATATGTATATATATATATATACCTTATTTTTGAACCCTTTTTTATGTCATTAGTATTTATAGATGTGCATTTAGAGAACAGACTGTGATCATATCTTTTGAAGTGAAGTCATTATAATAAACACTTAAGTGACATTCGATTACATTTTTTATATGTAAATTATGTTGCTTAATATCGACAGAACTCAGAATGAATCAACATTCTTGCATTATTTATCATATTCATGTTTTAAGGTCCCTTCTTCCTTCCAGAACAGGCTCTTCATGCTATTGAGTTGAAAATTTGTGTACATTATAGGAGTGTCTAATTATGTATACAAAAAAAAAAACTTTCAATTTCGTACCTCATTATTGATTGTGATTATAACAATATTGGTCGATACATAGCATGCATTTTTTCCGTTACTGAAAACCTTTTTCTTTGGGAAAAAGTCACACGAGTCACTAACTCTAAATATCAATTTTCAAACAAAAAAAAAACAAACAAATATTACATTATTTGTTAGAGTAATAGAATTAATTAGTTTGCAACTTTATGAATATAGAATAAAATGATTAGTTTGAATTTTTTTTTGGATTAGAATCGAGATAGCACATTTGACTAATTTACAATTTTCTCCGGGGCTCTTCAGTACAAATAGGTCTTTCTGTTCTTACGAGGGAAGTCATACAAATGATAAATTGCTTTTCATTCAAAATTATGTGCATGATATAGATCAAAATGAGTTATAAATATCATAAAAAAAAAAGAAAAACTGATTTTCGAATTTTAACTTGAAACTTTTTTGCACAGAAACAGACCTTAACAAGAATAATTTATTTCGAATATTTCCAATTTTGTCACTGTTTCTATTCTAAAATATAACTACAGTAATAAATTTTATTAAGATCTGTCTTTATGGAATATTTCACGTCGATATTTGAAAATCAATTTTTTTTCTATTACTACGACATTCATTGAAAAAGTACAGTAAATGTGCAACATCTTCGCAATAATACACTAAGAGTATGAACTCTTTTCAGTGTACTAATATATCATTTAGAAGATTTTCTTCGTTAGTCAAATTAGCTTTGACGGTGCGGATGTGGATGTGATACAATTTAAAATTGAACTATCACAGCACAATCTTTTTAGTTTTCTTTCAGTTTTTAACAAAATAGAGATCGCATTCTTTATTTTGTATGCATAGTCCATGATAATTTTAAAAATTATTTTTGAGAAATTGCTGTGATTTTTCTCGTCTTTTAACAGTTGTATGTTAGAAATATATTTTTGGTAAAAAAGATAAAAATTTGTTTAGAATGATACACTTATTATTAATCATTTGATCTGAACTGACATTATCTCTTGCTCTCAAAAATTATTAATGTACACAGTTCAAATTATTTGATTATGTATTTATTTGAAAGTTTGCTTTTCTGATAATATTTTATATTTACGGTGCAAAGATTTAAATGCAACTTGCAGAAACAGAGAAGTATAATCAAGAATAAATTACTCAATTTAAAGACAAATATCTTTGTTCGACAAGTTATGCTAATAATTATCGTTTTCTAATATATAAGAAGAATAAATTTTCAAATAACAAAATGACGTTTTTCGTCTATATTAACTAAACACAAGCGACATCCTATTTGTTACTTCATACCACTAGTTACATATTCACCAATCAGAAAAAAACAAATCTTCTACGGTATATGAACTATTACAATCTGTTACTAGTTTTTTTTTTATAATGATGAACATTTTCTGACTTTGTCGAATTTCAAATCTTTTCGTGAATGATTATTTTAGATTCTAAATAAAAACAATAATTTGTTTAATCAGCAACCATGATTACTGATGTGCAATTGGCTATTGTTGCAAATATACTTAATGTTTTGGTATTCTTATTGATTATTCTCTATCATTATATTAATTCATCTAATATCAAAGCCAAAAAGCAAAGTTAAATGTAAGACTTATTTTTCTTTTTCAAACAATAAAAAAATAAAAATATATTTTTTTTTTATTGTAGATTATTCGTTATTGATCATTCCATCTTATTCAACATGAATAAACTATTCATTTTTAGGTTTTGCTTTTTTTTTCATTTGTTGTTCTTTTCTTAAAACATAATAAAAATATATTTCAATAAAAATCAAATGTATTATGTTATTTATTCAATTTACATGTTCTCATATTAATCGTAAAAGCAAATTAATGTATTACATGAATTAATATAAATTTCTCAATCAAGTGTTGAACTAAGATACTTTATCTAAGGTTTGTCCATTATGTAGATTCAAATGACTTTTAAATATCCTGAAAAGGTTTCGTGCCCTAAGCTTATTGCTATGAAAATATTTCATTTTTGCAGTATTTTTTAGATAAATGTCGTCGTTCAGAAAAAACCTATTTTCGAATTTCGACTTGAAACTTTGCACAGAAATAGCTTCTAATAAGAATAGCTTTTTGTTAATATTTCAGATCTTGTTGCTGTTCCTATCCTAAGACAATCATGATAATAGTGTGTCTTTTACATTGCTCATATAAACTGACAGATGTGATGTTCTTATTTCAGGATAGAAACAAATTAAAAGACTTGAAACTTTCGTAATAAAACTACTCTCGTATAAATCCTATCTTTATAAAAAGATTGAAATCGGAATTTGAAAATTAATTTTTCTGTTACCATGATGTTCATTTTAAAAAATGCAGTGTCTCTACAACTATAAGCTAAGGATATAAACTTTTTCAGGGTATTCCTACCGAAGCAGACAAACTTTTGAGAAAACGTGTGTACACGCATACAAAAGAAAGAATAAAGTTGTTCTGCTTTTCCAGCTCGAGAAACGTGACTGTAATCATGATCGAGCATCTGAAGTATAAAAAACGACCACTTTTTCTCTTTTNATAAGCTTAGGGCACGAAACCTTTTCAGGGTATTCCTACCGAAGCAGACAAACTTTTGAGAAAACGTGTGTACACGCATACAAAAGAAAGAATAAAGTTGTTCTGCTTTTCCAGCTCGAGAAACGTGACTGTAATCATGATCGAGCATCTGAAGTATAAAAAACGACCACTTTTTCTCTTTTCTGTAAACGCACAAAAAAGACGAAAAATGGGCATTTTTGACTCACAGTCGGGAACCTCAAGTGTGAGCCAAAAACATCCATTATTTGTTGATTTTAGGTCAATTTTTGTGTGTTTAAACGCGTTTTCTCAAAAGCTTGTCTGCCTGGGTAGTTCATTTGAATCTTCATAATGCATATAGTTCGAATCAGAAGCGTTTGAGCAATTGTAGAATTTCTCATGTTAGTTCTTTATCGAACATCACATCTAATTAAGCATTTATCGATAGTGAGAATCTTAATGTGCTATATTCTATATCTCGTAATCTATTATCTTTTTAGTCGAAAATTTCTCTGAGAAAGAAATCATTTCATGCTGAAACTTAACGTTGTAAATCCGATTTGCATATGTAATATTGTTCTGTTTTTTACACTAAACTTCATTATGCTCTTGAAACAAAGATCTTAAACTATTGGAAAAACATCAATGGAAGACAATAATTGAACAAGAATGTTATATAGCTAATTAGTTAAAATAATGGTAAATATTTTTCAGTGTCGAAAAAAACAAACAGATATTGTAAAAGAACAAATTATTAATCTATGCAATACAACTTTGTTCGCTTTATTTTGAAACATCTATATCAAAATAATATCACCGAAAAAGTAAAGAAAAAGAACAATAGATCACTGGTATAAAACAACTTTGATGAACGAGATGTTGTTACTGTCAAAATTGTTGTATTTGTCTTTATAACTCCATTAAGAATAGTATAAGTGAAACTTGTATTAATTGTATAAGTTGTTCTTGATTGTAGACCAGTAAATTTATATGATCGAATAGTATATGAAGTATTTTGTGTTAAACCTAAATTTGTACCTATTTGACCATTGTTAATCAATTGTGTTGTGTAGGAATTCGGTGAATAGGGCAAATCATTTGGCCATAGAAAAGAAATAATAAATGAATTTGATGAAATATTTGTTGATAAAATAATTACAGATGATGGTCCAGGACATGCTGTATTTGAACGTAAACATGTTCGAGTTAAAATACAAGTGTTTAAAATAAATAAATATTGACTAAAATTTGTAACTGTTGAATTCGATGAAAAACAAATATAATAATAAGCATTAACTAATTCAAAATTTTTTGTTAAACTTGTTATTGTTTTATTTATTGATGTAAATGTATAATTTGTTGATGTATATATTCTATTATATTCATAATAATATTCATAAATAATAATATAAATTCGTATAAGATCCGATCGATCAACAGATATATCGGCAAATTTCCAATTTATAGTTAAAGCTGTAGAATTTATTGGAATAGCAGAAGTTAATTTTGGTTCTGTCATATACGGATATATTTGACAATGACATAATGTTACAATTGATAAAAAAAAAAGAAGAATATATGAAGCATACAAATAATTATTCATTTATATTGCTTGCACTATTGCACATACCTAAAATATTCAATTGAGTTTATAGGCACAACAGATGGTTTCTTTTTTTTGACATATAATAATTTTAATAGTAGCTATTAGAGACTCTCTTTTACATACAAGATTTTATGTAGTTGATATTTCAAAGTTTTCATCCTTATTTCAAGAGGAATTTTTCTATTGTAAGGAATATTATAATACATAAAAAAAAATAGGATCTCTGTGGGTTTG